TAACAAACGGAGACGTAACAATACATATTACATATAAACTTGAGACTTTCTTTTTTAAGATACGCCCACGGTATCTGTCTCAATTTCTATAGTAATAATTAGAAGGAAAAATATAAGAATCTTATTATCTTTGAACTCCATGTTTGATTTCGGAGTAATGTTCACAAGAATAAGGATTTCCGTGTATGTATATATATCCATAAGCTCGCGCAGCTCTGTGTAGGAGATTATAATTAAAAGCACGTGTATCTTTCCGCAATATGAATACTTTTAAGAATAATTTTGTATTTTCGATGAGTCTGAAAGGAAATATAGCTATAACTAAGTTGAAAACTTGACTTTTACAACTTATCTTGAGTTTGATATAAACTGGTGGTATATGATATGCTTGTTTATGAATTATATTCGTTTGAAAAATAAAAAATTCTGTTAAGTTAGGCTTAAGATGGTTAAAGTTAAACACTTGTTCAAGCACTAGACGAAAATACAGTTAAAACAAATAAAATTGTCATACGTTTCGACACCAGGGTCTCCCTAGAAGGTACATGGTTATTATAATTAAGATAATTCTCCTTTAAAGTTTAAACTAACTATAATTACCTCGTGCAGGTTACAAGTAGAGAGAATGCTTCACAGTAATAAGAATTTTTCAACCACTTGATTTTAGAAGAATCGAAACCATTAGATTGGACAAACTTAAAACCAGACTTCAAGCTGTGAAGTTACAGAAAAGAATGTATTTGTTTGTTTCAACTATTTCGTGCAATGCTACGTGAAGCCGAAGGGCTATTTGCACATAGCCTTCCTAGATTTGAACTTATAGTTTATAAGGAAGGTAGCAAGCCAATAGTACCTACCACCAACTCCTCTTGGACTGATATGGTCTAATCATGGTGGGATTTGACCATCACACTTATAGCGCACTCACAGCTCCAAAGTGTGGAGCATGTTTCCGTGGCAGTAGGCTGCAATCAATGAATCCTCGAATTCACAGTAGTAGCACTCACAGTAATCCCCAATGTATCACTTTTAGTGGCAGGTACTTTATCACAGATCCGAAAGTCAGTCCTTCAAGCTAATCCAATACAAAATCTCAATCAGCTAAAAACCAGCATAGACTTAGTGACGTCACGGACCTATCAAACATGGCTGCTCCTAGTGCGGACTTTCGTCACATTTAGCAAAAAAATTAATTTAGACGTATCTTGAAAATTATTGAATCAATTGCCAAAACCAATTTCATAGAGTTTCACGTTGGGCATTTATTTAATGTATCCATGTCTACTCTTCTGTAAACCTAAACAGTTTCCATTAATCAGAGCTTAAAACAAAATAACCCTTACATAAAATCCAAACACAATCATAGTAGATAATTACGTATCTACAACAGGGCCACGAGATGCAAGATGGACTAAATATATTATATTTCCCTAAATAACACCTTAAAACTTCACGTGAAAATAAAAGCTGCCCCCCAGTGGCACAGCGGTATGTCTGCGGACTTACAACGCTAGAATCCGGGTTTCTATACCCGTGGTGGGCAGATCAGAGATAGCCCAGTGTGTAGCTTTGTGCTTAATTACAAACAAGCCTAAAAGCTGTAAATATTTATACATATTCGTCATGCAAGATATTCATTAATATTACTTACACTGAAAATAAATGTATGTATTATACTCAAAAGGATTACAGAAATCATTCGAAACTTGTATATGCTCAACCCACGTCTACAGTGCAAAAAAACAAGAAAGTGTTTGACAAGTCACGTTAACTTCAGAACTCCTGTCTCCAGAACAACAACAAAAATTCGGTAGTTTGATGTCTTGATGACAAATATCCAGGAAATGAATTCAGGCTAAACTATGGAGCAGCTGACACACGTGTGACTCGCTATAATGACCTTTTACATTATATACACTTCAAGAATAACTTCCAACACACTTTTGAGACACATTTTGTACTTCTTTCACTTCCTCAGTAGCAATATAACTCTACTTTGATCATATTGTGGTGATTCAACCATCTCATGATTAATTACATCAAAGAAGTCATCTCCATAATTAAGGCCATTCAGTGGCACATGGTAAGTCTGCAGACATAACGATAAAAAGTGGGTTTCAATACTCGTGTTGAGCACAGGACAGATAGCCCATTGTGCAGTTTTGTGCTTAACTACAAACAAACAACAGAATCATAATTTAAATGGCAACTTACGACTTTTTCTGTGGTTTGTCACGGGCCTAGCCCAGCGTTGCCAAAACTATAGTTGCCTTGCCAGTAATGGTGTGAAATCACAAACATTTCAGTCACTATGTAAAGCAATAAGGACAAGTGTGTCGTGTTGGACTGACCAGACTCCAATGTATATGGCCCCCAATAAGGTAAACTATAACAACCGTGACATCAGAAAATGAACTAATGTAAAATACTCTCTAAAACTCTACGTTTTACCAAAATTTCAGTTAAGTTACATTAAATGTCAAAAGTAAAGTTAAAGCTACAGCTCAAGTGTAAATGTAAAGTTTAGCAAAATCTACCTAACATTGGAGAACTTGGCCTTCAGTACTAGAAAATAAGTCGGATTTTCACATGAAATGTTCTTCTGTACTTGATATTCAACTATTGTGACTCAAGTGCTAGAGCAGGGAAAACCCTTAGCCATTACCTGATTTGAGTAATTGAACTGCAGTCAGACTATCTACACACACACATTACATTATTGTCCCGTCACGTTGTCACCCTCTTTTATATACCAGACTACCCTATATTTAGAAAATACTAAAGCATTCGCCAAGGTACAGGATAGTTCTAGAAAATAGGTGGCGCCACACCAGTCACGTGACCTCGATGACGCAACACTGCCCCCTCCTTAATATTGTTCGTCCCGAACAATAACCACATACAATAAACCAATAATAATTAACAATAACTTAATTAACTGTACAGAATTACAAACACAAAATTACAGTTCAACAAAGTCTCTTAATTTTACGGGACGTATCTTCTTCCGTACTGGTCTCCGTCTCGTTGGCTTCTGCTTCACCTGGGGTTCATCTACTTCATCAGGAAATGTCCTATAATCGGTAACAGTCACATCAGTGTTAGTAACATCACCAGGAGCTTCACCGTTTCCCTTCTCCAAACTGAGTCGAGTTTCTTCTTCGACAGTGGCTTCTTCATGTGTCACGTCTTCAGCGGCGGCATTTGTTCTGTGGTCCACTTCATCCCAACTGAAATGTCCTGGACCATGATAACGCCAAAGCCTGTTG